GAAGCCATTAATGAATCCATTAGCAACTCGCGGGATGAGACAGACGGGGAGCACAAAGACCAGCGTTTAAGCCCATCACCATATGCACGACTACACAGGAGACGAGCTGTTTACCTTTTCCCAAAGGTTACAACTCCTGTTTTTGTAAGCTTCTTTTTCAAAGGCCCAGCTTTGTCTCTGTCTATGGGAAAATGCAGTCCTGAAGAAAGATTTCTCGGCTCCTTTTCAAAAACAGAGTGATTAGGAGGCACAGTCCTGATTTTTGATTGACAGGAGGAGGAAGAGTCACGACTCCATTGAAGGGATAATGAGGTGAAAGAATAAGACCAATAATTTAGTTTAATTCAAGTAGATTACCAGAGCAGTTGAATTAATCATGACATCTCAAGTTTCACTATGGCTTGATTGTTTTAATAGAGAAATTATTTTTAAAAAATCAAAAATTAATACACAAATATGACTGGAAAATAGGGGTGGGCAATCAGACAATATATCATCATTATCCTCATAAATAACATCACTATATGCTATTCGGAGTATATCGTAAATATCTTCAGTTCATGATAACACCGACCTGAGGTTTCATTAAAAAAAGAGAGAATAATCAGTCCTGTTTATCTGTATTTAGAGTCCAGTGTGTTAAACTTGTCTTAAAGTCTTTAGTAAATGTGATACTGTTGGTGCTTTTTCGCCTGTTCCAACTCATCAAACCTCAGAAAAACTCAATATGAATATCGTAAATAGCATAAAAAATTATTGTGATATTATATTGCCCATCCACACTGGTAGGAACTATTTAAACAGTAGTGAAATACAGACCATAAATACAACGCTTTAAGCTGAAAATAGCCTGAGAATTTGATTATAGCCAAAGAATGTGTATATTTTATTGATTAATATTAATAATCGATTATTCTTGACTAGAATTTCAAAGTTGATGCAGCTAATTCTCCCTAAAAACAAGTGATTCTAATATCAAATAATCAAGTAATGGTATTCTACTGTTTTCGCAGTCTATGGTGGCAAAATCATTAGCCAAGTTTCAGGGGGCGACAATCACTATATTCTGGGAAAAACACTCTACAATTTACTAATTGAAACATCAACATGTGCTAAATGAGCACCTCCAGTATTGAATTAACACCTACAGTGCTCACTCAATCCCAGCTGAACCCAAATGAAAAACTGTAAGACTTAATACAACACTGGACATTTTGCTCTGTGCCGAGAAAAACAAAACAGCAGTGCAAATCATAATGCTAAATAAGTCAGTGTGTTAAATGATTATGCACTTCTACCCAAAAATTATTCAATAAACAAACCTAATCGTGTTTCTACACTACAAACTAGACAGCAGACAACAGCTAACAATCTTTAACAAGATCTTTCTGCATGAAAGACAATGCTCGCACGCCCCTCTCTCCCGCTCCAACACTTCAGCAGGCAGCCCAGAGACGGTTGGCGTTATTATTTCTTATTCTGTTACAGAGAGAGGATTACAAAGCGGAGAGAAAGTCTGCCATACCCTGTCACATCTCAATAATCTCCTACCTCGAGCTCAGCCTTCCAGACATCACTCCACTCCGCCACACACAATGACTGTTATTCTGCTGAGGATTGAGTCATCACAAGCTCCTGAGCTACAGAGACTTTACATGGCGGTGGAACACAGCGCTGGAGTTTCCAGCACAATCATTACACATGTATTGATGTATACGTACATCAATGTACACCGATCAGGAATAACATTATGACCACCTCCTTGTTTCTACGCTCATTTTATCAGCTCCACTTACTATATAGGTGCACTTTGTAGTTCTACAGTTACAGACTGTAGTCCATCTGTTTCTCTGCATACTTTGTTAGCCCCCTTTTACCCTGTTCTTCAGTGGTCAGGACCCCCCCATGGACCCTCAAAGAACAGGTACTATTTGGGTGGTGGATCATTCTCAGCACTGCAGTAACACTGACATGGTGGTGGTGTGTTAGTGTGTGTTGTGCTGGTCTGAGTGGATCAGACACAGCAGTGCTGCTGGAGTTTTTAAACACCTCAGTGTCACTGCTGGACTGAGAATCGTCCACCAACCAAAGATATCCAGCCAACAGCGTCCTGTGGGCAGCGTCCTGTGACCACTGATGAAGGACTAGAGGATGAGCAACACAAACTGTGCAGCAGCAGATGAGCTATTGTCTCTGTCCACTATATGAGTGTAGATGTAAAGTCAATGAGTGGATACAGTGTTTAAAAACTCCAGCAGCACTGCTGTGTCTGATCCACTCGTACCAGCACAACACACCACCACCATGTCAGTGTCACTGCAGTGCTGAGAATGATCCACCACCCAAAGAGTACCTGCTCTGTGAGGGTCCATGGGGGTCCTGACCACTGAAGAACAGGGTAAAAGGGGGTTAACAAAGTATCAGAGAAACAGATGGACTACAGTCTGTAACTGTAGAACTACAAAGTGCACCTATATAGTAAGTGGAGTTGATAAAATGGACAATGAGCATAGAAACAAGGAGGTGGTCATAATGTTATGCCTGATCGGTCTATATGCTGACAGCATGTACAACATGTAAATGTACATGTAAGAAACCTATACAATTATGTTTTAAAGTCCCAATAACAAGATTTCCATATTTCTAGATAAAATAAATCACAAAATAGGGACATAGACTGTATTTCTCCTCTGTCAACAACAACAAAAAACACTGCTGTATTCCATGTAACCCCAGCGATCCCACCATGCTATCGCAACTGAAAAACTAATGCAGGTGGCCATGCAGCGAATGCATCCTTTCTATCTTGCAAGATAGCCAGACGGCTTAGCTTGCTAACAGCATCCTTTCTGCCCCGATGGTCAAAGATTGCAGGATTGCACTAAAAAGAGATACGAGGAAAGGGTAAAATGAGTTAGCAGTATGGATTGAGGAAAGAGATTAGCCTTCTCTGTTTGGGTGCATGGAAAGGGAAGAATAATGCTAAAGAAAACCAAGAGAGACCTACAGTCTGCAAGGTTCATTTACTGATAAGCCACATATAAAATCTGATTATTTCAAATTGCCCACAGGCCAAGGAGCCTGCGTCATTGTTATTTAGAGGGCAAAGTACACAGGAAAGGCCAAAGAGAATGCACATCTTTACTCTTTGTATACCTGGGGTGTCCAGCTTCAGTCCTAATAGGCCTGGGCCCAGCACAGTTTGGTGATTTCCCAGCCTCGGAAGTTACACTGTGTTTGTGTGCTCATTGGTAGGTTTTATGTACCACAAGGTTAACTACTAAATACGACTTCACTCCATTCAGGTGCTTGTTAAAACATACACCCACAACTTGGGGAAAGATAGTAAGAAGGTCTGGAGAAAATGTATTTTCTTTGTCATATTTACAGCTAAACAAGCCATGGATCTCTCAGCAGGCCCAGAGTTTTATTACACACTTCTATAATCTAAGAATAGCTACATTAGCTTGCATTGAAGTCCCTGTAGTTACTGAATAATAAGCCTTTGCATAAAATTAACCTGGATTGATAAGTGGTTAAAAAGCATATAGATCACAGAAGTGCATCAGGCATATTTGTTTTCCCAATTCACTGCCATGTTTATCGTTTTTCACCTCTGGAAGAGGCAAAAGGTCACGTTATACATCACATTCCAGACTCGTGTATTATCTAGAATACCCAGTTTCCCACTTGTATACACAAATTTGTCAATCGTTCAAGTGCAATTTACTGGCAGGGAAATTGGTCTTTCCCAGTTTCTGACACCACTTAAACATCACCAGAATTAGGGACAGATCAGAGAGGCGCTAATTACCCCGCCTACCTACACTTTGTGCTGGTGGAGGTGGCCAATTTAGCAGGTTATTCGCGAAGAGCTTCCATGCAAATGAACACAGACGCAACTAATGACCACACATGACCAGCACAATATAATCACGTGATCGGCTCATATGATTTTTGTATGAAAGCCTGTTTCTCCAAGGTTCTCTCGTTCAAAATGTAACTCATTAGGTTGAAATAATTGTCAATATTTGTAAAATTGCAGCCAGGAGCAGTGGGAGAAATCGGCACACCCTATGTTTGAATACATATGCAGACACCTACAAATAATTTGATTAATAAGAAAGACAACATCCAGACACAAGATGCATTTAAAGCCAAGTGTAAACAGGGCCATGGGGCGTTTCTTATGCTGCAAGAATGCTTTTGCTTTCAAATGACCATGATTGTGTTGGAAAAATGGAGGAGGCCCCACAAAAAAAAGTTGGACAATAAAGCTGAAGCAGAAACTGGCCATGTTAACACTATTTTCATATTAGTGGCGAATAGAAGTGAATAGTCAAACAATGGAAAGCGACTTGAAAAACTGTACAAATATAATAAACGGTAAAGTGAATGTTAAACATGGACAGTTAACCCACATTTTATTTCTGCTTTGTACGAGTTCAAAACACTAGTAAAATGGGCCAGCTAGCTGATAAACTACAACACTCATTTCACAAGCTCAGTAGGGCAGTAGTGTCCCGTCCTCATCCTGGAGTATCTGCCCTGCATAACTTGGTGTTTCTTTCAGAGTGAAGATAACATCCTCCACAGGCAACAAACTTAAATATGGCATTTGTTTTGCAAATTGTAGTGCATAATTTGTTCACTTGCTGAGTTTAACACACATGAAAACATGAAACATAAAATGTGCAATATGCCACAGTTTTTGCACAGACCACATTTTATGTTTTATTTATTTTTTTTCCCCCCAATATGTTATATTCAGCAAATAAACAGTAACTGGGCATTAAAATATGCACAAGTATATTCTCTGTAGGGGATGTTAACTTATTTCCACTTTAACAAAATAAACTATAGTTTTACCAGAGGCATCCAAACTTTTGCATAAAACTGAACACAAAAATTCTGCTTACGTCAACACAAATGAGAGCACACTGAACATCACAGTGCAACTCTGCTTATTTTTGCTGAAAGAATTTAATTGTTCTACTCACGCTGGCAGCGGCCGTCTACCTCCTCAAAGCCCGGCTTGCACACGCAACGTCCGATGGGCACCAGCCAGCCTCCATCGGCACTGCAGAACATGCGGGGAGCCTCCAGCTCCTCCGCATCTTCTACACAGGACCCACGCACTTCCACCAGTGCCGAGTCGCCACCAGTCACCGTGTCACCGAAGCGGGCCAGGTTAAGCACAGCTAGAGGGCAGCGCTTGTAGAAGACCCTCACCGACACCAGAGCAATGCAGGCGCCGAGGTCCTGGAAGGCCAGATAGAGGCCGCGCTTGCTGAGACCACTGATGTCCCGCACCTCCGTGTTCAGCTTCATGACACGGTCGCCCACGTCCGTCTGTGTGAAGCTCTCATCGGCCGCTATAGTATCGATCTTGACGTACTGGCTCTCACGGATGTGCCGCAGGGGCGGGGGTGAGGCGCTGTTGGATTCATGGTAGTAGACGTTGAACGTCTCCTTGCAGGTCCCAGGGACCCCCGGCAGGCTGTTACAGTCTCTGAGCGTAAATTTGATCTCCACATAGACGCGCTGGGCGCCCTCACGTTGAATAAGGCCTGTCCGCAGCCAGTTGTTCTGGTTGGCCTCCATCACGTTGCACACCTGGTATGTCCTCATGGGCGTGTTCCTCTCGTCCATAACGCTGATCTCCTCCCACTGCACATACAGAGGAATACAGTCAGAACAGAGGAGCTGGGAACTGTATAGTACCACGGAGAAGTTGAAAGACATACTCATTAAGGGTTTTCCTTTTTTCAGTACTTTCACTTTTTCAAATAATAGTTAAGATGTTAAAAGATGCATTTCCAATAAGCTTGAGGAAGTTCTAAATGCTGAGAATTTCGAAATTAAACATTTTTGGTATGGAAATAGCCCTGAGATGGACTGGCAACCTGTCCAGGGTGTTTCCTGCCTTCCGCCCAATGACCGCTGGGATAGGCTACAGGACCCCCCACAACCCAGAAGCATAAGCAGCTTAGTGTGGGTTTGTGTGTGTGTGTGTGTGTTTGTTATGAAAATAAACTCGTACATAAGCATCAGCTTCTATATTTCTAATTGTCTTAGTCATGGTTTAAGTATTTTAAGGGCAATTCCACTGACTTTCCTGCATAATTTTGTGTTACTCTAATAATAACAGTAATAATAATAATAATGATAATAACAACAACTTCACTTCAACTTACGTCTATTTTTTTATTTCTGCCTTATTTATGTCTATTTTTATTTCTATTTTTATTTCTGCCAAATGTATGTAAGTTTATGTGCAGTTTTATGTCTTGCTTCTGCAACATTGCAAATTCTCTTCGAGATCAATAAAATTCTATCTATCAATCTATCTTACTATCTATTGATCCATCCAAGGATCTATTGATCTATCTATCCTTAAGTGATTAAGATGTTAAAATCTTTTACAGTGGTCTGATGTGAAATGCTCTGGTTTAAATAAACTTACCGAGTCAGAATGGTGGTGATAGGAACCAGACGTCTAAAGTGTTTAATGCCGCTTAAAGCTACCTTATGGAAACCTGTTACACTGAATGATTACAGGAATGCTGATGTCTCAGACATTGTTTTACGATAATTCTAAGATCTAAAGTGTATTTTTAAACACATTCATGGCGGAGAAGTACATGGAGGGCGTTCTAAAGCAAAATAATCCCCAAAGAAAACATTTTTCTACTTTTTTTTTTTGTTTTTTTAAGTAGTTTTACTACTATTTTACCATCATCAACATTACATCTAAAAACTTGAAATACATATGCAAGTTCACCAGTCATTCTGAATAGCAAAATAAATGGCCAAACGTGTATTGTAGACATCCTGACCCCTAGTTCCCATCACCATCTATCACCATGTACTGTTACTTACAACAACATTTAAAAATTGAAAGGCTTTTGAAAATGCATGCGGTGACTGACAGGTGGATCCCTTCTGATGTGAAGACAAAAAGCTTCAGTGTTCAGTCAATCACCTTTACCTGATTGCTTGTACACCTGATTAATCTATGAAGTAGTACACTAAGCACCTTGAAAAAAAAAAAAAGTTGGGTGTTTTGACAGAGGCATGATGAGCGCATTATATGGACTGTGCTGTCACTGCAATCAATAATAAAAAGCAGTCAGTTAAAGCAGAAAGCGTTTTATTTTCTCATCAGAAGTGATCCACCTGTCAGTCAACCTCTGCAAACAACCTTGAGTTTTTTTTTTTCCTGGCATTGTTAAAAGCAGCTATGTTTTATTCAACAGGTAAAAAAAAATGCTAAACATAAAATATGCATTTTATGAGTTTGTGCTGATTGAAAACAGTGACAGCTGAAACAGAGAAGTGCCATCCCAACTGTCAATTAAAGGCCACACCTACACGTTACCTTTCAAAGGCGTACCTGAAGGTATGCGGGACATATCAACAGCTAAAAGGTTTCCTTGTTCTAGTAGAGGCCCACAAAAACAGGCACATCCCGGATCATTCCTAAAAACTGGCCCTGCAAACTACTTTGATTCCTGATCAAGGCTGCAGTGCTGTGGGAAACATCCTTAAACGTGTTGTGAATCTGCATGTGGCTTTTCATCCTGAGGCCTGCACTATAATCCATCATTGGAACAGGGGTATTTGCTTGAGTGCAGCAAAAGCGAGTGATGATGGATGATCCCCCGCTGTGAAGGCAGGAGGATCTTCGCTCTGCAGGTGAGCGAAATCGTCTGAAAGTGAGCTCCTCTCCAGACCACAGTGGGCAGTCCGGAAAGGACAACCAGCTGAGGGAGGCTTGGAGAGGTCAGGGTCATGGATGGGTGAGAGCCCACCGCTAAACCCAGCGGGGTGTTTGCAACGCCACCTGGCTGTCCATGAGGGATCTGGGGGGGCTGTTGAAAGGTTACTGAAGAACACAAGCTTGAAGTGTTCTATCAAAAAAAACTGACAGTGGAGCTTTTGTTGGAAGGAAGTGGTTCTTCTAAAAAATCTCTTCCTGTGCATAAAAATGGATAAGAGGAGACCGCCGGATGCTCCAGGTTGTGGGCTTCCTTTTGTTATACGCCTCAGATAGTCCTCCTGTTCTCCTTTCTCAACAGATACTCCTCCTGTTCTCCTTTCCCAACAGATACTCCTCCTGTTCTCCTTTCTCAACAGATACTCCTCCTGTTCTCCCTTCCCAACAGATACTCCTCCTGTTCTCCTTTCTCAACAGATACTCCTCCTGTTCTCCTTTCTCAACAGACACTTCTCCTGTTCCCCTTTCTCAACAGGTACTCCTCCTGTTCCCTTTTCCCAACATATACTCCTCCTGTTCCCCTTTCTCAACAGGTACTCCTCCTGTTCCCCTTTCTCAACAGGTACTCCTCCTGGCCTCCTTTCTCAACAGGTACTCGTCCTGTTCTCCTTTCTCAACAGATACTCCTCCTGCCCTCCTTTCTCAACAGATACTCCTCCTGTTCACCTTTCTCAACAGGTTCTCTTCCTGTTCTCCTTTCTCAACAGATACTCCTCCTGTTCTCCTTTCCCAACAGATACTCCTCCTGTTCTCCTTTCTCAACAGATACTCCTCCTGTTCCCCTTCCTCAACAGACACTCCTCCTGTTCTCCTTTCTCAACAGATACTCCTCCTGTTCTCCTTTCTCAACAGGTACTCCTCCTGGCCTCCTTTCTCAACAGGTACTCCTCCTGGCCTCCTTTCTCAACAGGTACTCGTCCTGTTCTCCTTTCTCAACAGATACTCCTCCTGCCCTCCTTTCTCAACAGATACTCCTCCTGTTCACCTTTCTCAACAGGTACTCCTCCTGTTCTCCTTTCTCAACAGATACTCCTCCGGTTCCCCTTTCTCAACAGGTTCTCCTCCGGTTCCCCTTTCTCAACAGATACTCCTCCTGTTCTCCTTTCTCAACAGGTACTCCTCCTGTTCTCCTTTCTCAACAGGTACTCCTCCTGTTCTCCTTTCCCAACAGGTACTCCTCCTGTTCCCCTTTCTCAACAGGTACTCCTCCTGTTCTCCTTTCTCAACAGATACTCCTCCTGTTCCCCTTTCTCAAGAGGTACTCCTCCTGTTCTCCCTTCTCAACAGATACTCCTCCTGTTCTCCCTTTTCAACAGATACTCCTCCTGCCCTCCTTTCTCAACAGATACTCCTCCTGTTCTCCTTTCTCAACAGATACTCCTCCTGTTCTCCTTTCTCAACAGATACTCCTCCTCCCCTTTCTCAACAGTTACTACTTTTGTTCTCCTTTCTCAACAAATACTCCTCCTGCCCTCCTTTCTCAACAGATACTCCTCCTGTTCACCTTTCTCAACGGGTTCTCCTCCTGTTCACCTTTCTCAACGGGTTCTCCTTCTGTTCACCATTCTCAACGGGTTCTCCTCCTGGCCTCCTATCTCAACAGGTACTCCTCCTGTTCTCCTTTCACAACAGGTTGCAGTGGCCAATGAGCTTTATTACTTGAAAACTATGTAAACATAATGTAAACATAATAGAATTAAAAGTTAAGAAGACTGTACTCACCCCCTCCGCTGGGTAGGCCTCCCAGCCCAGATCTCCAGGAGCAGACATGGAGTCCAGCAACGTAACTGAAAGAGAGAGAGAGAGAGAGAGAGAGAGAGAGAGAGAGAGAGAGAGAGAGAGAGAGAGAGAGAGAGAGAGAGAGAGAGAGAACACTGGTATAAAATGTTGCCACAAAGATAGTTTTCTGAAGTAAATAGCAACGACCCAGTAAAACCACAGCAGGAATCATTGCTTTAACCTACATTTAGTTTTGTTCGTAGGCTATAAACATACACACATACCACACATTTTGTTAGCCTCTGTGTACTGTGTTCATGTACATCTTTTTACGCCATATAACTTCCAGGTACTCTTTACTCAAAATAATTACACTTTACATAATTACTGTGAAGTCTGTACCACTTATTCAGTTAAGACACAGAACCTGTTGGGCATTTCAGTGTAATTTAGAGAGACTGTCTTGGAACTCGCCATCATGTTATCCAAATTAACTACCTAGTACTTTGGAATTTGTACCACACATTAACCTACTTAATACCCACAACTTAGGGAGTCTGTAAAACAAAGCATCACCCACTTTTGAGCTGATGAGCTAACACTAGGACTAAGTGGTACACTGTTGCATGCAACATGTTGCTTGTGTTCTACACAAGGCATTTTCTCCTTGCATCTTGAAAGGTTAAACGAGTACTTGAGCGCATCCCTAGCAAAAGATCATACTGTATGCATGCAGACTACATTTACTACAGATCGACCTTTAATGAAAACATGCTTCTCTATTTAATTTCTCAATTGCTGCTAACAAAGGTTCATGTGCAACACATTAAGACCCCTCTGAACAAGGACAAGCAAAATATCTGATATAACACATTCACTACAATACACAGCACAGCCAACACATCCGAGAACCAGTTTAAAACTGTTCACAAGAAAACAAAAGAAAAACAAGACGGACCTTGTTATCCTGCCCGCTGGAATCTATTCTTGAAACAACATTTTCAGAGGTTAAAATAGCAGCGCCTCTGCTATTTATATCGGTCAGGCCGTTTCCCTGTAGCCTCAGCCATGAACTTCCCACTTTGAGCTCCATCCCAAACCAATTACAGCCCTGGCATGCAGGGCGATTAATTTTTAATCACATTCAAACCTCAGATGTTCCTCCTCTTTCACGCTGCATATCAACTTCTCCCTCTCCTGTTGCAAACACACACCCTTTGGCGTTAAATTAAAAAATTGAGAGAAATACAAAAAAGCACAAGTGTCTCCAAAGTCTAATTAAAACAGAACGTGTGGGTGAGCCTGGATGAAACACAAACAATTAGCATTCTTCAAATGATTCATTAATGGCTCAAATGTGGATATCTATCCTTACTGGCCATATTCTGAGGGAAGGGGCATGATGTATGATGACACAGTGTTAGAGAGGATCAAAATATCCATGCCTAACATACTGTAGGCTTCTTTATGCTGCAGATATAATTAAATTCAATGTTTTCAACAGTTTATCTACATCAGATGCATTCCTCTATTCTTAGAGCCATGCAGAGTCAGCGTGGAATACATATGTTTTAGTGTTGGGCACTTTAGTCAGCGCTGGATACATTTTTCACAGATTTTGACACTGTGAGCCACTGATGTATGTGTTACTCATAAAAACATATAAAATGTGCCATCATACCAGCCGATATATCTCATCCGATGTAGAGGTGATTCAATGAAACAAACAAAAACAAACAAATACACCGATCAGGCATAACATTACAACTCCTTGTTTCTACGCTGGTGGGGTGCCTTTAATTCTGCCTGAAACATACCCTTTTATCTTGTCCATTTTATCAGCTCCACTTACTATATAGGTGCACTTTGTAGTTCTACAGTTACAGACTGTAGTCCATCTGTTTCTCTGCATACTTTGTTAGCCCCCTTTTACCCTGTTCTTCAGTGGTCAGGACCCCCATGGACCCTCACAGAGCAGGTACTATTTGGGTGGTGGATCATTCTCAGCACTGCAGTAACACTGACGTGGTGGTGGTGTGTTAGTGTGTATTGTGCTGGTACGAGTGGATCAGACACAGCAGTGCTGCTGGAGTTTTTAAACACTGTGTCCACTCACTGTCCACTCTATTAGACACTCCTACCTTGTCAGTCCACCTTGTAGATGTAAAAGAGACGACTGCTCATCTGCTGCAGCACAGTTTGTGTTGGTCATCCTCTAGTCCTTCATTAGTGGTCACAGGACGCTGCCCACAGGACGCTGTTGGCTGGATATTTTTGGTTGGTGGACTATTCTCAGTCCAGCAGTGACACTGATGTCACCACTTCTGTGTCTGATCCACTCAGACCAGCGCAACACACACTAACACACCACCACCACGTCAGTGTTACTACAGTGCTGAGAATGATCCACCACACAAATAGTACCTGCTCCGTGAGGGTCCATGGGGGTCCTGACCACTGAAGAACAGGGTAAAAGGGGGCTAACAAAGTATGCAGAGAAACAGATGGACTACAGTCTGTAACTGTAGAACTACACCTATAGTTCACCTATATAGTAAGTGGAGCTGATAAAATGGACAATGAGCGTAGAAACAAGGAGGGGGTCATAATGTTATGCCTGATTGGTGCAAACTGACTGCTTTTATATAGCTTATTATTAATAAAGGTCAGCAATATGTAACTTCTGGTGGGGTGCCTTTAATTCTGCCTGAAACATACCCTTTAAGTGGTGGACTTATAAGAACAGCAGAAAGCTTCCCCTTTCCTGATCCAAGCCTCCAGGGACCTGACACCAGAAAAACACATGTACGCGCGCGCACACACACACACGTGGCTCAACAGGGCAACGAGGGGGGAGCCTCTCTTTCATTGGCCTCTATTCTCAGAGAGAATAAGAGAATCCTGCAATTCTCTGGCCCTAATCCCCATCCTATCCAGGCACAAAGCAGTTCTTTAATGTACCTGCCAAAAGGCCGCAAACCCGCAACAAAACATTTAGGAGCAGAGAGAACAAGACCAGGAGGGAAAGGAGGACAGAGAGAGAGAGAAAGGCCCAATCCCATTTCTTATTTTTACCCCTAGCCTTGTTTCCAAGAGTCACCTTGCCCTTTGGAACTGAGTGACTGAGTGGGTAGTGGTTGAAATCTTCCCTATGAAATGGGACCCTCAAATAAAAAGAGCATTACTTCATTAACAGCTACTAGCGCTGCTCTGTAGGCGACCCTGCCAGTCTGCAGTGACAGCAGAGGAGGGTAAAGTTCAACTCCTCACTGCTGGGCTTTAGTTACATTTAGGGCATCATATGCCTTCAAAGAGGGGGGCAATTATTTATTATCACCCACCCCTAATTCTTCAGTGATATGAAGCTAAAGTCAGTTATTCACCAGCTTCTTGTTCAATTTTTCCCATTCCACCTTAAATAGAGCAACAGTTAAATCTGGCGCTTCAGGCGTCAGAACTGCTGGACTATTTAAGGTGGAACGGGAAATTTAACTAGCTAGCTACTGAGACATTAGCATACTGTTAGCGATTTTTTATGCTTGTTATGAAGAAAAGGACCATAATACACTGAAACGACACTGAAATAAGATGACACACTGATTATTATATTTTTAATGGAGAAAATTCTCACATTTGTGGGGTTTCTTTGGTCTCTTGTGCAGCCATATTGCCAGTTTTTCTTTTTTCTCATAACTCTCTGTTTGGAGTCTCTGAAAAACCTCTGTTTGGAGGGCCATGTAGCCCTAACACTTCACCCTACCCCTCTATCTCAACAAAAACAGGTACACCCTACCCCTAGACGTGAACATGCAAAACGGAGTGCCCAAAGTATGGGTCCTCCGCAATATGTGACAGCTAGAGGATGCCCTTATACAACACAGGCCTCATTTTCAGTTACTCTGCATATCACTGAATGAAACAGATGCTGGACACATTCATTGGTTTCATAGATTTCTTTCTCATTGTTACTCTGATAGGTCTCTAACAGTAGTTATCTGTTATCACTGGGTATTCTAAATACCTCCACCCAATGACAGGCTGCTTTCTTTTCGTTTTCTCCATGTTCAATATTGTATATTAATTGTAAAATCCTATTCTCTGTTCATATTGCTCTTGTTGTGCTTTTGCTATCCGGTGTCAACCAGAGACGAATGTGTTCCCCTTCTGAGTCTTGGTTTCTCTCAAGGTTTCTTCCTCTTGCTCTTAGGGAGTTTTTCTTGGCCCCGTCACGCTTGGCTTGCTCACTGGGGCTTGGATTTTCTGTACAGCTGCTTTAAAGCGTGTTGTAAAAATTCATATGAATAAATTTTGACTTCATTGGGTAAGATATTACAATCGCACAGAAGTGGATATTTCATTAAATATTCAAATAAATATGCCAATTCCTTTTAACGTTCCCTAAAATAAGACTGTATATTGTAGATGGCCATGAAAAACAAAATGTTACACCAATAAGCATTTTTTTGCTTGTAGTGTCTAAAAAGGAGGTAGAGCACCAAGGACAGAGCCTCTTCTTCATCATTAAACTGCTGTGCTTGTGTGCCTGGCTGGAATCCCCCCTGAGGGGCAGAGACATCACCTCAGGGCCAGAGATCAGATTTAACCGTTAACGCCGGTAAACTGCAGCCATCAGCAAGCGCCTTCAGCACAAACAGTAACCACAGAGACAGTAAAAAGTGAAAGGTACTCTCACATCACATCCAACAGAATATGCTCAGCAGTGCTGCATGTTTTTAAACTGAAGTCAAGAATAATCACACATCAAGCGAAAAGTACTTAACTCGCATTGTGACCCAATAATATTAAAATCAATTACATTTAATGAGGGAACACAGATATAGATCTTGTCTTTAACTATACATTTGAGGTTTTGTTTAATTAAATGTAGTAGTAGCAAAATGCTGAGTAGCATGGTGTGGGGCTTAGTGAATGGCAGTGCGTATATGTACATTAAAAATGATGTTTTTTTTGTTTGTCTGACATTGCTGACCAGTTGATTGACAAGTAACTAAAAGTTTCAGGATAAGAAGAGCCATTTTGTCCTTTCAACAAGAATCAGACCACCCTG